TTATCTACGAGTGTAGTTTTGTTTTGCTTAAATTCAGAACTGTAACAGTCATGCACATTTCAAATTTGCTGTTTTGGTTTCTGTTGAATGTGGATTAAAAATTCTGTGTTTTAATCAAAACACTAAAACTCCAAAGTGTGTTTGGACTGGTTCAGCCAGTCCTCACTAATAAGTCAGAATTGATTGTATTACTTGCCTGACTTCGCTTATGTATGGGTATTCTCAGTGGGATAAAATTGTAGGAAAACCACACATGTACCATATAAGAAAACAATTTGTACTGCAAGAGAACAGTCACATTACATATAAGCACATAAATAATAATTTTTATTGCATGCATTCATAAAATTTGGCAGTATACCAAAGTGGCATGGCACAATGGTTGAGAATCACTGAACTAGATGATTATAAAAGTTAACTCATGCTGTTAGATTTAGAATTTAAAATCTTGAAATAGCTCATTAATAACCTTCATTTGCAATTGCTTAAATTCTGGTGGGGAAAACTGTTCTTATGTTAACTAACCAGTTATTATAATTTTCAACTTTAACTTTTTTTTTCATATTCATCACTAGAATGCAAATTAGCTTTAAGTGTATTTAAGCTAAGGGTTTTTGATTTTAGACAGAGAGAGTTTTCTGGCATTCGTACCCCACTGTCAAGATTTTTTTCAGCTCTACCTACATGTAATTACCTTGCTTTCGTATTCTCTACCAGCTAGCTGCTTTAAACTTAAGTGATGGTAAAGTTATTTGAGCCAAATTATAGCTTATTTATTTGACTGTATAGACTTTGACTACTTTTAGCAACATTTAAATTTAAGTATGAATTAATGATTATTTTACATAGCCACAAGTAGTGGTTTATCTGTAGCATGAGATACCACGGTTCTGGTAAAAATTTAATTTAATAAAAAGGTTGTTTAAACCTTCATAAATCTCTATTGTACTATTTTCATATGTAGCAATAACTTGCTAGTTGCCTAGCTTTATAATAACAGAATAACAGACTGATGCTTAAAGATGCAAGCACCTTCATACACAGATTAGTGTTCAGCTAAGGCAGACACATTTGAATGATTATTTTCATAAAGGTCTCAACATTAGTCAGTTACCCAAATTAATAAAGCAAACAGAAATCTTACCTACATTGTATGCCTCAGTATAAAAGTTCCAACATCTTCATACAGACTGTTCTTTTTAAGTTTAAAACTTATCTTTATAAAAGAGCTTGTAATTTTATGCCAGAGCGGCACTGTTAAGATTTCTGTCTTGGCTTGGTTAACAGTGCATGATTTGAACACAGCTGCCAGCAGATTTATGATGAGACATTGCCAAGAACATGTCTTGACAGATCATTCAATATTAATCTCATATTTCAACGAGTTAAAATTTTAAATAACTAAGCTATTACTTGCCCACTGTATTAGCTTTTGTAAACTTATTGCTAACTATAGTATATCATATTGGTTCCAAAAATAAGAAAAGAAATAAATAAAATATACTCACCCACTTGTAGATTAATAATAACAACACAGATGGTGCTGAGAAAACAGAGATGTTTGTTTAAATGTATCGGAAATCATGCTTTACAAACGTATCAGAGAAGTCTGCTTTTTTACTTAGACACTTATACAAAACAGGCATGAGTTATCTGCCTCAGAAGGGATTCATCTCCATGGAGGATTTTCAATGGAAAACTGACATATATTCATGTAATATATAAAGAAAATGATAAAAACAGTATACACTCTGCTCTTCAATGAGCAATGAGCTTAAGATAAAGGAACTACAAATTTAGTACAGTCAAAAGTCGTTAATCCGGACTCGTCGGGACTTCGGTGATTCCGGATTATTGATTTTTCTGGATTATAGATCATCAGTTTAAATCTCGTAAGATGGCATGCAGAAATTATAAAATTAAAAATATGAAACCGTAATTTATAAAATAAAGAACAATTATGATCTAAAGGGTATCAAAATTTACAAAAAAAAAAAAAAAAAAAAAAAAAAAAAAAAAGGCTTAATATTTATTTGTTTACTTTATTAAACATTTCTTTCAATGTAAGTTGTTTAAGTTGCTTCGTTTTAGGTGATAATACTTTCTCTTTAATTCTATAAACAGACATAATTTCATGTTCAGTTACAAAGTTCCGCTGTTCAAGTCCCGTAATTGCTGTGCCGAGAATACCGACTAACTTGTCATTCGAAATTTTTTCGTTTTCACTAACCTCTCTGTCACCTTCTTCATGTCTTTATCCATTTTTTGCAGCAATTCCACTTTTTGTTTGATGGACATCGAAACATACTTTCGTTTTGTAGGTCCTTTGAGAGCTCCAGCATCAGAAATTCTATTTGACATAATCGAAAGTTCAAGTTTACTTTTATAAAATTGCTCTTACAGTCTGCAAAAAATAATAAGCCAGATCCATTTCGAAGATTAAGGAACAACGCAATCATCAACACTAACTGAAATAATTAGATAATTTTAGCTTATACCATCTGTTATACATAAAACGCGCACGCGAAAACGTATTCTGCGCTTGCGCACACGCATTTGCGCAGTCGTTAAGGTCTTTGTTGGAAAATATAGCTTATTTTTAAACCATTTAATGCATCATCTCTCCTCCTTGAAATGTTTATTTAGTTTAGTCTTTATTTTTAATATAACATAGTAGTTACTTCTACTTATTCTTTAAGTTTCACTGGGAAGGATTAATTAAACTTTTAGGGTACGTTTCCAATACCAGACAGCACAAACTCAAGCTGGTATGCAAGGAACTGAAGCTCAATATATATTCAGATTCGGATTTTGCTTCAAGCAGGGATGATATGGTATCTATTGGTGGACAAATAGCTTTGTTGGGAGAATCACCTGTATCTTGGCGTACGTTTAAAGAAAGGGGAGTGAGTTTATCTACTATGGAGGCTGAATTTATCTCCATGACTGAATCAGCAAAAGAATTAGTTTGGTTTAAAAACAATTTTGGATGAATGCATTCAGTTTAAAATTGCAAGTAACTATGTTTCGAAAAAGCCAATATTGTTTGCTGAATAACATGGCTGCTATAATGTTTTACAAAATCACCCATTGAAAACTCAAGGACAAAGCATGTAGATGTGAAAACTATTCTTTCATTCGTGATCTATTGAACAGGGAAATTTTTGATTTAAAATATGTCCCAAGTAAAGATAATCTGGCTGATCCCATGACAAAACTGCGCTGACTAAGCATAATCTTGGTAAAATTTTGTGGAATAATTTTCTTATGGGAAATTTCTTTTTGTGTGTATTTAACTTTAAATTAAGAGTTTTGCTTAGATGTTTCAATTTTTGTCTCTTTTGGACTGTAACATTGAATGAAAATAATGTGTTGTAAGTCATATTATGATGGAGTATTAGGTAAATGTAAAATTGTATAGAATGAAAATGTTGTATGATTGACCAGGGCCCTGGGTAAATGTATTGAATGTATAATCATACATATATGACTTTGTATTGTTTTGTAACATGTTGGACTTTCTTGCTACGGTAAAATTTTTGAATAATGGGATAAGATTTTTCCCAAAAGAAAAAAATGTTCTTAAAAATTTCTGAATGAAATTGTGATATTTATTTATTCTTGTTTTGATTTTTGTAAAGATACTGGCATTCGGTTTTTTCAGGTCGGAGATGATGATGTGGGGGGCATTGTTGGAAAATATAGCTTATTTTTAATTTTTTTTTTTAATTTTAATGCATCATCTCTCTCCTTGAAATGTTTATTTAGTTTAGTCTTTATTTTTAATATAACATAGTAGTTACTTCTACTTATTTTTCTTGCTGCCACTGTTTGCATTGAAAACGGACTGTCTCAACCTAATTGAGATGCAAAAACGAAACAATGTTACGTTTTTGTATACGTTTGTATATGTTACGTTTTGTATGTATATGTTACGTTTGTTTATCTGAAAAGCCGATTCGTGCCGATAGCTGATTGGTTGCCGTGAGATGACGTCATTCCTACTTCTGCCATAAGTATCTCGCGTCGCTCTGGCTCAATCCTTCTAGTTCCTGGTTTACCGGCTGGTGTGTGAGCGGTTTCCAGCCCCTTCCAAAGGATGCCTGCAGTCCGGTGAAAGGATGCCTTGATTCCGGTTTACAAGATAATGGTTCCAGATTGAAGTTCTTCAGTTCCGGGGGCTGTCCTGTGAGTGACTACCGTAGGCAGCGTCCGTGTTTCTTCAAGGAGGGTGGAATTAAGTGCAAACGGCGTTAGGCCGGTTTTAAGTGGTTTCACATTTAAATTTTTAAGGTGTTTTCTTGACCATTGATGAACTTATGGAATGAACTATGGAATGGGTAGCCTGCTTTATTTTTAGGCGGCATAGTCACTATTTAGGACTTTTTCATTTTTTTTTTAAATTTGTTGTATAGAATGCCAGTGTTTTTGGAGTACAGGTAAAAATATTTGATGAATGATGATTATGTTATGTTTTGCCTAATACTCTAATATTGTTGAAATTTATTTTATTGTGTTTTATTTTTCTATTATATTGTTAATAAATTTGTTAAGTTCAAAATCTTTTATTGTCTTCAATGTCTGCACAACATAACTCAGGGAGCTATCATTGCTACCACTGCTAAATGTTTAATTTCTTTAAACTTTAAACTTTGCTTTAGCATCAGTCTTACGTGCACGCGTTAACGCCTATGCGCATGCGCAGAAAGTTTTTAGCTTTGAGGTCTGGATTATGGGTGTCCGAATTAACGACTTTTGACTGTAATCTATATATTTCAGTATTTAACTGAATAAAGTTACAATGGGCACAAATGAATTTGGTTACACTGTATTCATCTACAATCTACATCTATCACAAATTAGTTTGCATGGAAAACTCATAATCTAAAACCATTATAGAACTTTGCTCATTACTATTATGATTTCACTTCACTTCTGCTCCTACAGTTCAAGTGAACATGCAGATTTCACAAAGTTGACATTCGTTTATCAGGACTTACCTGGAGAAAATTCAGCTGCCACCTTAAAAATTTTCACAGTTCCATCATCTGAAGCAGATGCTAATTTGCTCCCATCAGAATTAAAAGCACAACTGTTGACAGAACCTGAATGGCCTGTAAATGACTGTATTTCTTCATGGGAAGAAGTTGACCATATCTAAATTAATTTCAAATTAAAAATTAAAACAGAGTTAAATTCCAATAAAACTGGAATATCCCTTCATATATATAGAGAGAGAGAAAGCAATTTATATAAAAATAATTTTAACTTTTTCAGACTTTCCATTAGCCAAAAGTATATATAATAATCAGAACCAAGAATTGAAATTATACATAGGGAGATAATACAAAAATTATCTTAATTTTAAAAAGAAAAACCAAATGCAGCTGTACTAACTACCACATGACTAAAGCTAATAAGTTGAAACATGGATTGGAAAGTTATTTTCTTGAATCCATTTGTGAACATGGGGATAGCCGAATTCAATAAAATTAGTCTCTTTTCAATGTAGAAAAGTCAATGAAATATTTTTGTATGTTAAAACATATCTAACAATTTTAATAATTAATTATAATTCAATACATGACATTAATCATGCAATTATCCCCTCCTTAACATTGTAAAGGGCTTCAAAACAGCATTAAAACAATAAAAAAACGATATTTTCTGAAAGTACTACTTAGACAATAACTGAAAAACAGAATCTAACATGTAAAAACAAAAATTTAGACCAGTTTTTAACTAGAAGAAAATACATATGGACAGAGCTAAAACAAGATGTTTTTTATAACTCGAAAAAAAAAAAAAAGAGAGAGAGAGAGAGAAATATAGACAAAATGTTAAAATATATATATGTCCAATTCTAACTGGAAAATGGTGTGAAATAACAAAAAACTTCATTATTCAATATTCAAAAACATAAAATTACTAAAAAGACAAAATACGAGACAAAATTTACATGATAAATATTATTCAGATGACATCTTTGTCAAATAAACAATGAAAGAAGGTGAAGCAAAGAAAAGCATACTTTAAGTTGAAGTACTGTGACAAAACGGAATTGTAAAATAAGGTTTTCTGGGCTAAAGGAACAGAGTGACTACCATGCAATTTGTGGACGGAAGGAATAGTGTGAAGAAGTGGATTATGATTATGTGTAAGTGGGGAAGGGAACAGAAATTTAAATAAATATTGGAAAAGAGTACCTTTCAATGAAAAAAAAGTACATAAAAAGTTAAATCACTAAAACTTCAATTTAAAAATCTAAATGTAAACAGGGAGAAGACAAAATTAATTTTTGATGTAATAAACTTTATTTTAAATATCTGGCTGTAACAAAAGTTTTCAGACAAAAAACATTCTTAATAAAGTTATTTTTCCAGCTATTGTTTGTGGATAATACCACGGCAAACCAACCAGATACAAAGCATGATCTTTTTGTTAGTCAAATTGAGCTTTGGGATGCTGCTGAGCTGTTGATCATGAGGTGCAGACCAACGACCTTTTCAGCCTGTGTTGTTGAAGTTAATCCACTTTGCATCACAAGTGATCAGTGCAGATTTATGTATAAGCTGCACAAGCTATAGCTTATGGCCCCCACTTTCTTGGAGGCCACCTTCAAAAATTGTATTATATACCATGTATTAAGAAAAAAAATGTCTCATATCTCTCACAAAGGGCCCCATATCTCAAATAGCTTAGGATCTTATCAAATCTATACCCCGTCCAGCAAGTGATGATCCGGTCGAGAATTTTGACTTTGTGTTGATATTCCAGCAGATTAGTGCAGGCCTGACCACGTCTGTCCTTATCTAATTGAGTCAGCTCATGAAGAACTCAGCGATTGAACTTGTATGTCAAGTTTATACGATGCAATAGTGCGACTAATGGACAGGGCACTAACATCTAGCTCCTTGAGGAGCTCTTGATTTGACTGCATACTGATCTTCTTCCACAAGTTCTTGAAGGCGGATCTCATCAACATCAGTGCTCTGCTTCTTGAATGTTATAGTCCTTGTTTTTGAGTTTTCAGTACGAAACCTTCACAGTATTATATAATGCAACATTAGTACCTAAAGCTGTATACATAATTTGATGACATTCTGTAGCTGACTTACAGAGCTGGAAGTAAATTAGAGTTTTAATCTGGTAGCATGATAGTTCTATTTCAGACACCTTGTACTTAATAATAATAATAATTTTTTTTTTTTTTTTTACAAATTTCACAAGACAGCATTCTAAAGCAAGTCTCTTCCTTTCAAATGCTAAAAATCGTGTGACAAAATATGATTAAACATGCCAACATGAACTGTTTATGCAGACGATTTTTGAGTAGTGGTAAACATTCGCTAAAATCCGATACAAATTAAATAATATTTAATAAAACAAGATTGTACTATGTAGCAGAAAGTGGTAGAGGAAAACAGAAAGAAGGAATAGCATAAATGCTGATTCTTTTCAGTAGCAAACAGAATTGAAAATAATTGAGTCCTGTTAATAAAAGTATTTAGGTTACCTGAAAAAATAATTACATCTAGACAAAAGTTACAATGTCTGTTGTTACCTTCCATGGGTTTAAGTCAAGATTTCATTCATAACTTTAATTTTAAAGAATTTAAAAGTTTAGTTTCAAAGAATTTAATTAATGCCAAGATCTACAAGTTCTAAGTTAATAAATTGCTCAGGAACATTATTCTCTTGTAATGCGGAAAGAAAAATTTGTAGTTCACTTTGTAAATATTTTAATTAAAACTGTGCAAATATTTTTATTTTTATTTGATTTTTAATGGCATTAGCAATAAGCTTTCTGGAAATATTGGAGTGCCAATTAATAAGCTTAATGGTTTGGAAGTTAAAAAATCTCTTTTTATCAAATAATTTAAAGTATTCTTAAATGAAGGAAGTCAATTTGTTGATGGATTCAACTGGTTAAGCAAATAGGATAAATTTGATTCTTTTCTAAAAATACTTCATTTTTAATTATAATAATGTCTATGTATCTGAAAGTGCATTTAAATTTGCTTTTAATATAGTTATCATTATTTTTCATAAATTTTAATTCTTTGGCAAATAAATATAAGTTACAAATGCTGATGAAATAATTGGTACCTACATGGTATGTCATTAATTTGTTGGAAAAGACTCTCACATTCTTTGATACAGTTCTAGAATAAGGTACACTGCAAAAAAAAAATGGGACAGTTATATATCTCCCATTCTACTGGGCCGATTGACGAAATTCAAATTGCGTTCTTCGTGTCTCGAAAGCAATATATATTAGATTTATATATAGCACTATTCTAACATTTTATTTAACATTATTTTGACACAAAATCGAACTTTTTCTGAAATAACATAACAATTTTTTGACATATTTCGATTCTACGACTCAAATTATGCCTAAATACTAATTGTTTTTTAATTTGGTGCAAAATTTATGGAGAAATTCAACAATTTCTGTGATGCTTTTTTTCAGTTTGCGCCAAGAATAGATAACTTGGCGAACTTCTTAATATGTGGCAACCTATTTTCATTTTTACATTGTGTGCAAACGGAACAAAAAAGTCACAATCATTCCTTCTTTCAAATAATGTTCTTTATATTATATTTTTAATATAATTGTTATTATTTTAAATACTTTTTCCTTTTTTGAATTTCATTTTAATTCTTTAAGTTGCATAGTTTCTTCCAAATAATTGTTTTAAAAATTTCTATTTACTCATTCGAGCTGCGTAGTTTACATAAAAGGCGCATCGTTTATTTTTTTCAAATAGTTTTCTTTATACTATATTTTTTAGTCACCCTTATTATTTTAGGTAATTTTTAAATTTTTAGTTTTTTATTTTAATTGTTTGTGTTGCATTGTCTCTTCAGATAATTGTTTAAAAATTTTTATTTATTCATTCGAACTGAGCATTTTAAATATATTTATTAATATAAATTTCCCAGAATTTGATTTTATTTATTTGAATTACATTTCTTTCACAAGAATACCCAGACTACGATGCATTTGAAAAAATTTTGTGACCCAGACTACGATGCATTTGAAAACTGTATATATTAAGAGAGAAAAGACAGTAAAGCACAGTTAACAAACCTTTCAAAGTTCCGTTCAGAAAAGATATATAAATAAGAGAGATGTATAGACCTTTTAACTTAGGATGACTTGCATACATTGCTTTAAACAGTTTTATCAATATGCCATTGCTTTACACAATTTTATCATCCTACATTTAGTTTCTTAAAATGTTACTCATATTTTAGTCAAATATTTTATTTTTGAAATCGCAAGAATCAAACATCATAAGATTAAAAAAGTGTTAAATTAAAAAAAAAAAAAAAAAAAAAAACTAAATTTTATGCAAAATTTATTTTTTCTTCTTAATGGCTTGCTTTTTTTCTTCAGGTAATCTGTAAGTATATTAAAAAGCATCCAACTTTTCGAAACATCTTGGAATTTCTGACATTCATTTTAAATAAAGTTATCACCTTCCATTTCATAAAGGCCTACAAATAGCCGAGCGGTAAAGTCACAGAACACTGGTAGTTCACTCCAGGGTTCAAATCCCGGCAAACAGGCTAGTTGCATGGGTGTTTTCGCATTTTTTCTCACGTATAACATGTATGCCAGCTAGTTTCCCTTAGAAAGTTCTTCCCAAAGGCACCCTTTCTTTTAGGCAGATAGCCCTGCTTTGCCGTAATGTAATAATCCAATTCAATCCATTTCATCAGTATTTGGTCAGAGCCTTTATCAGTCTTTAATGGCTTATAAGCATTTTGAAGTCATGAGATGAAAGGAAAGACTGGTTTCAAGGAGGAAAACGTCTTTAGATGATATCCATATATGTTTTAGAGACGTTAGGATTTTTTTGGAACAGGAGACTTGAAAAATAAGCAAAGACATCATCAGAAATCAAACCACGGACCTCTCGAATATGTGCCGAGTGTGCAGACCACTTCACCACGAAGGCACGCTAAGAAGGCAGAAGAAATACCTTACATACTCCCCCCCCTTTTAAAGGGCGAGTGGGGATTAGGGGACCCACACACCAAATCCTGGTGGTGAAGAATCATCATTCACTACCTTTTAGTTCGGGCGCTACTGTAGAGACATTAGGTTTTTTTGGAGGGGAGCAGGGGAAATGAAAAATGAGCAA